ACAGGCACCAATGTCGACGCTTTCCCACCACCTGGGGCGAACGTCGTCAGTGGCATGTGGCTCTATCAGGTGAAGCGGCCGCCTGGAGCACCACCGGTGCTCAAGGTGCGCTACGTGGTGAGAGGCTTCAGTCAGCGAGAGGGGGTTCCAAACCTTTGCTCTTACCCCAAAGATGACCACTCTTCGGGTGTTGCTGCACATACGAGTTGCACTCCTTGGACTTCTCCACAGCGTTCCTTCAGGGGAGCCTACACGAGCAGATTTGACTACGTCGTCCGCCTGGCTTCACTGGCTCTTTCCTTCTTGGGACCCAGTGGTAGCTGCGCCGACAAGTCTACGGCCTACGCCAGGCTCCCCGCAAGTGGCACGGCACACTATGCACGACTCTTGCAGCGCTTGACTTCTTTCCGTCGTCCGCTGACCCGTCGCTATTCGTACGCCGTACCTTGACCCCGTTCTTCATTATAGTTTACGTTGACGACCTGGTCTTCACCACTCCCGGCCGCACAGCACTGGGAAGGAGGAACTACAGAGGAGACACATTTGCACAGACCTTGGTGAGCTGCAGTGTTACGTTGGCCTACGAATCACCTCGGACAGGGCAGCTCGCACCATTACGCTGACGCAGTCGCAAAAGGTCGAGGAGATCCTCACGCGGTTCAGCTTCCCGTTCTCCAAGGTACAGGTCATCCCTCTTGCTGTGGATCATGGGCTCACGGCTCCACCTTCAAACGAGTCATTTGAGCCCAGTGGTCCATATCCTGAGTTGGTGGGTTGTCTCATGTACCTGATGACCTGTACTCGCCCAGACCTAGCTTTCCCTCTCAATGTCCTGGCGCGCTTTGTTGAGCCTGGGAGAAAGTGACCTTCTTACTGGTTGGCTGCTAGAGGGTAGTGAATTATGTGGTGAGCACATCAGGCATGAAACTTGTCCTTGGAAGGAAGTAGTCGTCACAAGTTTTTCGCACTCCTCGTACGCAGACGTACAGGTCTACACAAGGTTACTGCTTTAGCCTTGGGACTGGAGCTGTTTCGTGGAGGTCGACTCGAGTGTCGTGCGTCTCCAGTTCCAGCTGTGAGGCAGAGGTGTACACTACGGCCATGGCCGCCCAGGAGCTTCTCTGGCTGACTCTCCTTCTTGCTCACCGACCTTGGTGAGCGGCCTCGCTCTCCCCCAGTCTTGTTCGCTAACAACAGGTCTACTATCCTGTTGTGCGAGTAGCCCCGACTGGTTTGGACGGCGAAGCACATCCAGCTTCGTTTCTTCCTTTTGCGCGAGTTGCAGCAACATGGTCAGGCACTAGTGAGACGTGTGGTCTCTGAGGCCAACACAGTAGATATCTTCACCAAGGCATTGTCGTCCTGTGACCACTCGAGATTCTGCACCTAGCTAGGCGTTGTGTCTACAGGCCCTTACTTGCTTGTGTAGAGATGCTTTGTAGTGTATTATGTTTGCTATATCTCTGCATGTGGACTGGCCTTGTGGCCTCTTTCTTGTTCTCGAACTGTGTGGTGATCTTGAGATCCACCTCGAGATTTGTTTTGTGCTTGTGCACTGGTCTTGTGACCGTTGCTTGTTCTTGCTGATTGGTCCTATGACCCTTGCTCTCAGACTGCGTGTTGACTTCGTGATCCACCATGTGATTTGTGTTGCCTTCCACAGGACGACCATCACCTAGACTATTGGGGTGTGTCAAGCTATATTTTTATATGGTTTATGTAGTTGTAGTCTAGGTGTTTTTGTTTTGCCCTAGGTTAGGTTTATATGCCCTTGTGCTTTCCCATTCTGCTTTTTATTTCTTAACATGCCCCCCTACCTAAAGAAGACACAGACGAGGCGCGCACGAGCTATTTGCGCACCTCTGGACTTTGTGCGCCAGATGGCTGCGAATATAACTCGTGCAACGGGAGCTAGACTACGGGCTAGGCACGGGGCAAAAGCGATCGTAGCGTTCGTTCGTTCCTTAGTCGTTTCCAAGTGCTATCAGTGCTTGCTAGTTCACGGGGAAAATTGGCAAGAGTTTCACTAGGAAAACATTACAACAAAAGTTCAGAATGATTGCATCAACATTGGCAACACAGACTACATCAGACCTAGCAAGGCTGCTGGTCGACTGCCAGCACAGCACGGTCGACCGCGTGCCAGCACGACTTGGTCGACCACGCTCCAGCAGAGCAGAGTCGCGGCTTGCCAACGTTGCAAGTCCGCGGTGTGCCAACGCTGCAGTAAGTCGGCTACACAGCGTTGCATCCGCGGAACAACGGTGCACCTGCTTCGCAGGTGCGTGCAGCTGGTTGGCGCCCAACTCCCCGTCACATGCCCAGCGCAGACACTCCACCCGTGACGGCGCCCACCAGCCACGTCGACCTCGGGATACCACCCCCGAGGTCGTCCTCGCAGAAACCACCCCCGGCGACCTTCGCACACGTCGCCCGGGTATCCTGGTCGACCGGGTATCCCGCGGCCCCCATGGCCCCCGATCGTTCACCCGTGGCCACCGCGGGCCCCGAAGTCCCGTGGTCTCCCGCGGTCCCGAAGGTGCGTGCACTGCTGAAGCATTCGAAACTTCTCGCTACCTACTGGCCGTACGCGATGCACCATGCCGTACGGCTGCACAACCTGCTACCTACCACGGTGATCGTCGGTAACCTGTCGCAGCACATGAAGTGGACAGGAAAGAAATGTGACACCTCCATGCTCCTTGTATGGGGGTGTGTGATGCAATACAAGACCCCTACCTCAATTATCGGCAAAATTACGAGCCGTTTGCAATGGGGCATTCACCTTGGCATCAGTTACGAGTACAAGGCATGGATCATCCTTGACCTCCTCAGAAACAAAATCACACATGTGCGCGACATGATTTTCTACGAGAGGATCACCTTCGTGCAGTTCCGCACGGATCAGCAAGCAGGCACGGATCTGGTTTACGCGGAACAACGGTCGGAGCTACGCAACTCCTGAGGACGAAGCTTCAGCACTGCTTTCTTGCAGGGCAGCCTGCACGAGGAGATCTGGCTGCGCCGCCCACCTGGCTTCACTGGGTCGTTTCCTCCTGGTACCCAGTGGAGGCTTCAGCGGCCGGTCTACGGTCTCCGCCAGGCTCCGCGTGAGTGGCACGACACATTGAGGACTACACTTGCGGCTCTTGGGTTCGCGCCTTCTACAGCTGACCCGTCGCTGTTCCTGCGCACCGACACTTCGCTGCCGCTGTTCTACATCCTCGTGTACGTCGACGACCTGGTCTTTGCCACTGCTGACACTGCAGGACTCGCCTACGTGAAGTCGGAGCTGCAGAGGAGACACACGTGCACAGACCTGGGTGAGCTGACAAGCTATCTTGGCTTGCGGATCACCCGGGACAGAGCACGGCGCACCATCACCCTGACTCAGTCACACATGGTGCAGCAGGTTCTCCAGCGCTTCCGCTTCACGTACTCCTCGCCTCAGTCCACTCCTCTGCCTACCGGTCACTCGCTCTCAGCTCTGCCTTCGGATGAGTCCGTAGAGCCGAGTGGCCCGTATCCAGAGCTTGTGGGCTGCCTCATGTACCTGATGACCTGCACTCGACCTGACCTTGCATACCCTCTTAGCATCCTTGCACGCTATGTCGCTCCTGGCCGTCACAGGAAGGAGCACATGGATGCCGCTAAGAGGGTGTTGCGCTACTTGTGCAGTACGTCGGGCATGGGGCTTGTGCTTGGAGGGCGAGACCGAGTTGTTCTCACAGGGCACTCAGACGCTTCTTGGGCAGACGACCAGGCCACTCAGCGGTCGTCTCAGGGTTACACCTTCAGCCTTGGCTCTGGCTCAGTTTCTTGGCGCTCTACACGCTCTTCTTCTGTTCTCGGCTCCAGTTGCGAGGCTGAGATCTACGCTACAGCCATGGCTGCCCAGGAGCTACGCTGGCTGACCTACCTGCTGACCGACCTCGGAGAGCGGCCTCGTTCTCCTCCAGTGCTGTACGTCGACAACAAGGCTGCCATTGCCTTGTGTAAGGAGCACAGACTGGAGCACAGAACGAAGCACATCGCCCTGCGGTACTTCCTTGCTCGAGAGCTACAGCAGCGCGGTCAGCTTTGTATTCGCTACGTGGCCACTGAGGCCAACACTGCTGATGTGTTCACCAAGGCACTTCAGCCTCGTGACCATCAGCGCCTCTGCACTCTACTAGGCCTTGTGCCTACTGGACCTCACTTGCTTACCTCTTGACCTTGCTTGTACTGTGATCACTATATATGCTTATACCTGCATGTTTATTCTTGCTAGGTTGTGATCACTGTATTTCTTGCTTTGTTATAAACCTGCATGTGAACTGGTCTTGTGACCACTTGCTTGTGCTCGGAATTTGTGTGGAATCCTCGAGATCCACCCTGAGCTTGCTTTGTCTTGCTTTGCCCTGACTGGTCTTGTGACCCCTAGGTCTCTCCCACTTCGCCTATGGGGGTGTGTCAAACATTATACATGTTATATCTGTGTAGGCTATAGTGGGTTAGCCTATAGGAGGGTCACCATTCTAGGGTTGCATATTTGTACCAAACTCACTGCTAGTTGCCTCATTCCAGTCCGTTTATTCTGACAAAGTGGGTACATATGCTAACCCTAATTGGGTTGTACCCCTTATGGGCTACCCCACTACAGCCTACACAAGAGAAACACGATTATAGTTTGACATGCAATAGTCATTACAATTGTAGCGATGTCTGCAACATAGTTAATAAAAAAATGTACCCCTCAGAGTAGCTAGGACAATGCTATTAAAGCCATTCCAAGACTTCCACTGTTTTGACACTATTTGGCAAGGATTATCCTGTCCACTAAAGATTCCTCAGTTACATCATCAGTTTTTTGTTGAACATACTTATCAAAAGAATGCAGCTTTAATGTAGTTAACATAATCAAACAAGAGAAAGGTACAACAAGGTTCACCAGCCGGTACTAACGAGTACGGACAGAATCCATCCCTGCCAACCAGCCTCTCACTGAATTTGCCCAGTCCATGACCCCTCCGTCCGTTCGTACCTTTTCTCACCGTTTCTTTGTCCAATGAGCTATCCGCCACTCCATCATAATCGTCATAATTTAGTAGCAAATTACCTGAAATAAACTCGTATATGCTTTCTCGTCGCACCGCATTGCCTTCTTAGCATCGATCTCACTGCGTTCACCCCACCGCGATGGTGATGGACCCTTCCGCGGCGGCGGCGCCCGCGGCGGTGCCGGGCGCGCTGGCGGGGCCGGTGGTGGACGGCGTGAGCGCGCTGGACTGCAGCCCGCAGGGCCTGGCGGCGTTCAGCAGCGGCGCCGCCATCAGCGTCGTCGACCTCGCCAGCATGCAGCTCGTCCACACGCTCGTCGCGCCGCCGCCCCCCCTCGACCGCTCCGGGGGCCTCGCGGGCGGCGCGGCGGAGACGGCGGGCGTGGTGGTGCCGGTGACGGCGGCGCGGTTCAAGCCGGGCGGGCTGGACCGCGACCTCGCGCACCTCTCCAGCCTGCAGCTGGCGGCGGGCGACCGCGCGGGGCGCGTGGCGCTCTGGGAGGTCGTGCGCGAGGAGGTGGACCGCTGGCTGCTGCCCGACCGCGCGGGGGGGGCGGCGGGGGGAGCGGGGGGCGCGGGCGGCAGCGCGGGCGGCGGGGCGGCGGGGTCAGTGGATGCGGTGGAGTGGGTGATGGGGCGGCCGTGGCTGCTGGCCGTGCTGCACGCCAGCTGCGCCGCCGTCGTCTGGGACCTCTCCTCCTCCTCCGCCGCCTCCTCCTCGCCTGCCGCGGCCGCCACGGCGACGCCACGTGTCATCTGGCGGTACGACGGGTCGGCGTCGCCCACGGGCGAGCTGCTGGTGTCGCTGGCGCTGGACCCCCACGACCCGCGCCGCCTTTGCGTGCACGGCGCGCGCGGCCTCGTGCTCGCGCTGCAGGTCGACCTGGGCGCGCCGGGCAAGGGGGGCGCGGGGGGGAGCGGTGGAAGTGGGGGAAACGGGGGGGGAGCGGGCAAGGAGAGGGGCGTGAGCATCAAAACCACCACGCTGCAGCTGCCCCTGCCAGAGCCTGGAGGGGGGGGAGGCGGAGGGGGAGGGGGTGCGACAGGGGGGGCAGCATCAGTGGTGGCGTGTGCGTTCGCCCCGCACACGCGCGACCTGCTGTACGCGGTGCTGCCGCGGGACATCGTGTGCTTCGACCTGCACTTCGGGTGCGCCGTGGCCTCCTCCTCCGTGCCTCGCAGCGTGGCGCGGTTGACGCGGCTGCTGCTGCCGCCGTCCAGCGACGTGCTCTACTGCCTCCACGCCGACGGCAAACTCTCCATGTGGCAGCGCCGCCCGTACGCACTGGGGGGGGGGGGGGGGTATGAACATGAGAGGATGAGCTTGGGGGAATGGGCATGGGGGAATGGGCAGGCATGGGGGAATGGGCATGGGGGAATGGGCATGGGGGAATGGGCATGGGGGAATGGGCATGGGGGAATGGGCATGGGGGAATGGGCATGGGGGAATGGGCATGGGGGAATGGGCATGGGGGAATGGGCATGGGGGAATGGGCATGGGGGAATGGGCATGGTGGAATGGGCATGGGGGAATGGGCATGGTGGAATGGGCATGGGGGAATGGGCATGGTGGAATGGGCATGGTGGAATGGGCATGGTGGAATGGGCATGGTGGAATGGGCATGGGGGAATGGGCATGGGGGAATGGGCATGGTGGAATGGGCATGGTGGAATGGGCATGGTGGAATGGGCATGGGGGAATGGGCATGGTGGAATGGGCATGGTGGAATGGGCATGGGGGAATGGGCATGGTGGAATGGGCATGGGGGAATGGGCATGGGGGAATGGGCATGGGGGAATGGGCATGGGGGAATGGGCATGGGGGAATGGGCATGGGGGAATGGGCATGGGGGAATGGGCATGGGGGAATGGGCATGGGGGAATGGGCATGGAGAAAGGGAGGGAGTGAGTGAACGTTAATTAAACCTAACACTCTCTAATCTTGCTTCACCCAATCGTTCCTCCATCACCCCACCACACCCGTGCTAGTCATCACCCTGCAACCAATCCCCTCCCCACCCCCCCTCACCACCTCCCCCAATCAGAGGGCGCCAGCTGTACATGATCCGCACGGTGGAGCCGCTGGTGCCCTTGCCCGGCAGTGCAGCACCGTCCCCGGGCGTGCTGGCGGCGGTGTTGTGGCCGCAGCCGTTCCGCGAGGCGCAGCTCGTGCTGCAGGCCGTGCCCGCCACCACCCCGCGCCCCAATGGCAGCCTGGGGGGCGGCGTGGCGGCGGGTGTGAGCTTGCACGGCGTGAGCAGCTGCCAGGTGGTGTGTGTGAGCGACGACAACAAGCTCTGGCACTGGCTTGCCAGCACTGCCCCCGTGCCGGGGGGCAAAGGGGGGGTGGGAGGAGCGGGGGATGGGGAGAAAGGGGATGGTGGGGAGGGTGGTGCGAGGGGCGGTCGGGGGAGTGGGGGGGGTGGAGGAGGGGGAGGAGAGGCAAGTGGTGGCGAGGGGGCGAGTGCGATGGGTGACGGCGTGGAGGTGGCCATGAAGGTGCGTGCTGTGCGGTGCAGTGCGGTGCAAGGCAGGTAGCATTGCAGGGGGGTGCGGCAAGGAGGGTTGAGGCGTATGGCAGCAGGGCAGCAGTGCAAGGAGGGTGTTTGAGCTGAGCTGCCTCAACCACCCCGCCTCTCCATGCCCTCCCATGCCTCCCCCCTCTGCACACATGCCCTGCCCCCCATCCCTCGCATGCCTCGCTGGTCTCCCCCCGCTGCATGCAGCTGGAGCTGCTGGGCATGTTCCACGGCTTCTCCTCCGCGCCCACCACCCTCTCCGTGCCCGCACCTTCCCTCTTCTCCTGCGTCTCAGGTGCGTGCTAGTGCACGAGGTGCTGCCCCCCCCATGCGCTAGTGCACGAGGTGCTGCCCCCCCCATGCGCTAGTGCACGAGGTGCTGCCCCCCCCATGCGCTAGTGCACGAGGTGCTGCCCCCCCCATGCGCTAGTGCACGAGGTGCTGCCCCCCCCATGCGCTAGTGCACGAGGTGCTGCCCCCCCCCATGCGCTAGTGCACGAGGTGCTGCCCCCCCCATGCGCTAGTGCACGAGGTGCTGCCCCCCCATGCGCTAGTGCACGAGGTGCTGCCCCCCCCATGCGCTAGTGCACGAGGTGCTGCCCCCCCCATGCGCTAGTGCACGAGGTGCTGCCCCCCCCCATGCGCTAGTGCACGAGGTGCTGCCCCCCCCCATGCGCTAGTGCACGAGGTGCTGCCCCCCCCATGCGCTAGTGCACGAGGTGCTGCCCCACCCATGCGCTAGTGCACGAGGTGCTGCCCCCCCCATGCGCTAGTGCACGAGGTGCTGCCCCCCCCATGCGCTAGTGCACGAGGTGCTGCCCCCCCCATGCGCTAGTGCACGAGGTGCTGCCCCCCCCATGCGCTAGTGCACGAGGTGCTGCCCCCCCCATGCGCTAGTGCACGAGGTGCTGCCCCCCCCATGCGCTAGTGCACGAGGTACTGCCCCCCCCATGCGCTAGTGCACGAGGTGCTGCCCCCCCCCATGCGCTAGTGCACGAGGTGCTCCCCCCCCCATGCGCTAGTGCACGAGGTGCTGCCCCCCCCATGCGCTAGTGCACGAGGTGCTGCCCCACCCATGCGCTAGTGCACGAGGTGCTGCCCCCCCCCATGCGCTAGTGCACGAGGTGCTGCCCCCCCCATGCGCTAGTGCACGAGGTGCTGCCCCCCCCATGCGCTAGTGCACGAGGTGCTGCCCCCCCCATGCGCTAGTGCACGAGGTGCTGCCCCCCCCCATGCGCTAGTGCACGAGGTGCTGCCCCCCCCATGCGCTAGTGCACAAGGTGCTGCCCCCCCCCATGCGCTAGTGCACGAGGTGCTGCCCCTCCCCATGCGCTAGTGCACGAGGTGCTGCCCCCCCCCATGCGCTAGTGCACGAGGTGCTGCCCCCCCCCATGCGCTAGTGCACGAGGTGCTGCCCCCCCCCATGCGCTAGTGCACGCACCAGGTGCGACCTATCCCCCCCCCACTCGCTGCACGCCTCTCACCTCAACTGCTTCACCTGCCATGGATGCCAGTTGTCATTTCTCGCATGCATCATGCCCGCACCACCGCCATCCCTTGCCCCACACACCGCCATCCCTTGCCCCACACACCGCCATCCCTTGCCCCACACACCCCACCCCCTGTGCTGGCTGCACTCACATCCTTCACCCTCGTCCTTCACCCTCGTCCTTCACCCTCGTCCAGAACTGACGTCTCTCCCAAAAAGAATTGCCCCTCCCTCGCATCACCTCCCCATTTCTCCACCTTACCCCTACGCCCACGGCACGGCCTGCCGCGCTGACCACGACAAGGTCTGAGCACGGCAACGGGGTCGCTGGCAGCAGCAGCAGTACCGCTAGTGGCGGTGGCAACGCAGGAGGGCGGGGTGGAGCTGGTGGACACGGCGGTGCATGCCATCGCGGCGTCGTTCCTGCTGCACCCCTCCATGGTGCGCGGCGTGCGCTGGCTCGGCAACACCCGCCTCGTCTCCTTCTCCTTCCAAGAGGCGCGTGGGTGGGGAGAGACGGGAGGGAGGGGGTGTGGGAATGGAGTGGAACGCGGGGATGTGGTTGAGCGTGGGGATGTTCGTGCTTTGATGTTCGTGCTTTGATGTTCGTGCGTTGATGTTCGTGCTTTGATGTTCGTGCTTTGATGTTCGTGCTTTGATGTTCGTGCTTTGTTGTTCGTGCTTTGATGTGAGCACAACTGTGGGTCAAGTGGCCTCGCCCGCCCCCTGCTCACCTCCCGCCTGTGCACTCCTTCCCCAGGCGAAGGCGGGGGGGTACGAGAACAGGGTGGTGGTGACGTGCATCCGCAGCGGCGAGTCTCGCCCCTTCCGCCAGCTGCAGCAGCCTGACAAGTCGCCCATGCGCGGCCTCCGTGCATCGCCCTCCGGCAGGTGACGCCCCTCCCATGCCCTGTCAGGCGACTCTCGCATTTCTCTGAGGTTGCCACATTCAATTCGAAGCTTCTTTGCCCACTCCACTCGTGGTTCATGTTGGCGGCTTCTGCTCACAGCAGTACCCCTTCTGCTCACAGCAGTACCCCTTCTGCTCACAGCAGTACCCCTTCTGCTCACAGCAGTACCCCTTCTGCTCACAGCAGTACCCCTTCTTGCACCCTGCCTCTTCTTGCACCCTGCCTCTTCTTGCACCCTGCCTCTTCTTGCACCCTGCCTCTCATGCAACAACGTGAAGTGCACATGCCTTCCCCACTCGTCGTGTGTGAATGGTGCCGTGCATGCTGGTGTGCATGGTGGCGTGCATGGTGATCAGGTACTTGCTCATCCTCTTCCGCGATGCTCCAGCTGAAGTGTGGGCCATGACTCGCACACCCCAGATGGTGAGAGAAAGCTCTGTGTGAGACGGCATCACATCACTGCACAAGCACAACCATCCTCCGTGTTGCACCTCCCCACCATCCACCATCGCCACCTGTCATGCTGGCTCTTATCAGACGCATATTCTTCACACCATTTCCTTCCCGGTTTCCTCCTTCCCTCTCCCCCCTCCACACATCCAGCTCCCATGACAGCGATGGCTCTGCACTTGTATGCTTTCTTCTTGTCTCCTCTCCCCCCCTTCCCCACACCAGCTGCGCTCCCTGGCGCTGCCCTTCACGGTGATGGAGTGGGCGCTGCCGCCCGTGCAGAGCCCCACTGCGCTCGACCCGCACTCCTCCACGCAGCGCCACGTGCACGGTGCGCTGATGAGTGGTGCGGTGCGGTGATAAGTGCAGGGTGGTGTGGTGATACGTACAGGCTGGGTTGATGTGTGCAGGGCAGTGCAATGATGCATGCGGGGTGGGATGGGCCATGCATGATGGAATGAGTCACGCATTTACCTTGAATAATGTCATGCTCTCAGTGTAGTGCACTGTATGGTGCGTTGCATTGCATTGCTGCGCATACCAGTGTTTTGAGCCACTAGAGTGCACAGCGCCTTGTGCTTCTGCTCTTCGCATGCTCATTGTGTACCTTGTAGGGCGTCGCTATGCCCACCATGTGCCACCTGTTGCCTCCATTACCGCTGTACACTCCCCATCACCCATCACCCTCCTGTCCCACCGTCTTCCCCTCTCTCAACGCCCATTCCACCCGCCACCCACCACCAGACGACGACTTCCCAGCATCGCCCACATCAGCAGCGCTGCTGGCAGCCACGCCGCGCTCAGCGTCGGACCCCATCGAGTCCTTCGCCTTCGCGCTCGTCAACGGCTCGCTGGGCGTCTTTGAGCTGCGTGGAAAGCGTGTCCGCGACTTCCGGTGCGTGCGGGTGTTGAGCGGTCTCAGGATTGACTAAGTCGTTGACCGTGCCATTGTGAACGGGTCACTGCGGGGGCCTCAGCTGTGCGGCAAGCACGTGAGGGACTTCCGGTTCGCCATCCCTCTCTTCTCTGTGAAGCTCCCTGATTTCCCCTTTCCCTGCGAGCACCTCATCCTCCACATCCCATGCTCATATGCCATCCGTCGTCGTGCGTGTTGTGTTCCCCCCGTCAGCCCCCTTCCTCCGTCACTTCCCCTCTACCTCTCCATGCCTCGCCACCCATCCCCCCTCCCTACTCTGCACACCTCTCTGCATGCCCATGCAGGCCCAAGTGGCCGTCAGCATCGTTCGTGGCGGTGGACGTGCTGGTCACAGCCATGGCGTACCGCACACCCGTCGTCGTGAGTACCATACCCGCCCTTCTGATGCGCGCAACGTCACACGCTCGACGTTTGCTTGTTTGTTTTGTTTTTTTTTTTTTTTAATTATTTTATTATAATAATTATTATTAGTATTATTATTATTATTACTATTATTATTATTATAACTATTATTATGTTTTTGGTGCCTTGACATGAAAACGTTATCGCGCCAAAATTGCAATGTTGTGGTTTTTTAAATAAATTGCGAAGACATCAGCATTTTTCCCAGCATAATGTGAAATAGCACCCCCCACCCCCCTTACACACCAAACTGAATGATACCACCTTCCATAACACTGAATGATAACACCTTCCAAGGACGTCCAATCGCCATCGTTCTACAAACGTGTCGAACACTAGTCTTGCCACCATCTTGGCGAGGTTTGGCACTTTTGCTAGGAATCCCTAGAACCCCTTTAATTTGCCGAGGCAAGCGTCAATCGAGCGTCAAAACGCTAGCGTCTCACTTACCCCCCACTCATTTACTGTTAGAATTGAACCGATGGCTTGATTAGGAATCATGAGGGTTTTCATAGTTGGATCTGGAAAGGGGGGTTGGTTGGGTACCTAGCCAACATTATTGACCTCCCACCAATAAGTTGGGTTGGAGAATTATTGGGGGGTCCCAATAATGTTGGCAAAAGTGGGTCAACATTATTGGGGGGGCCAATAATCTCCCAACCCAACCTTGGGGGCCAAAAATTGGAGCAAGGTTGGGTTCCAACCCCCAACTAGGGTTAACCGTAGTTGTGCACCCAGACATAGTTTGGGTGCCTATCTCTATCCTATTGTTTATAGGATCAAAATAGGATACAAAAGAGTAGTATAATCTAACACGACCTTTTAGCCTGCATAGATCCATAAACCTGGATGAGATGAGACAGCAACCCCTAAGTCAGCCACCATGGGGAGCAAGGCCTAGGAGGGGTAAGATTGCCAAGTGAGTAGCGCGGTCGAGGGCCTTAGTGAATATGTCGGTGGGGTTGGAGGATGAGTCAATCTTGCGCACGGTAATGTGGCCATCCTGGACAAGGTCGCGGACGAAGTAGTGTCGGAGCTCGATATGCTTGGAGCGACCTGTCACCGTATATGCAAGTTTATGCATATAAGGTGACAGAGAGTGCGGTGTAGTTATGGTGTAGTATTGTTGAGTATGCACATTCAAGGGTAGGCAGGTGGGGGACCAAGGAAATTGACGCGAAGTTGGTAGGAGAGCACCAAGGGGTGGAATCCACGCAACCAATGGGAACGAACCAGCCCAAGCTCGAGCCGCACATTGAAAAATGCACGGTTCGAGCCTGGGTCAGGTAAGTTCACTCTCTCACACACACCCGATGCTTTCCGCTTGTTATCCTTTCGCATAGTGGATCGTTGTTACCTCAACCTTACAGCTAGGTGGCATACCACTCAGGGAGGACCCTTGGGGTGAGAGCTTTAACACTTTCATAACAAGCGGAAAGGAGTGCGCGTACAAGCATGGATGTGTACGAGCTGCGTTATGGCAGGAACTACGGTCGCCATGAGGAGGATCGCTCGCGGCGCGAACGCTCACGCGAGCGCGGGCGTTTGATGGAGAGGTCGCCGCGGCGGCCAGAGCGATCGCCGCGGAGGCCGGCCTTTCGCGCAGATCAGGTCCCTCTAGCGCCAGATCGCCAGGAGGGAGGATCCCCTCGAGAAGGAAGAGGCGGACCTGGATCTACCGTGATGGGGAGTGACCCGTGGCGGACAGACGCGCGCCACGGAGCCGGTGGCGATCATGGGCATCGCCAGGACACGGGAGCATATCGCTCGCCGGAGGAGGCTATCGCCGTCGCGAAGACCGAAGTCGCGGGCGAGGCCTGGAGGAGCTATTCTCTGGTTGGCAGGGAGACCTCGATGTGGACGGGGAAAACGAGGCCGACGCGGCGAAGGCGATGCAGGAGTCGAATCGTGAAAGCAAGGCGGAGGAAGGCGCAGGCGAACAGCGCGACATGCCCGCTGGAGTCAACGGGGCTGATCCTGCGCAGGCGGGCGAGACGGTGAAGCCAAGCGAGGCGGAGTCGGATGGAGCGGGTGGTGCTCGAAACCAGCCGTGTGGCGGAGAGAAGAACGACGGGGGGAGGCGTGGCGGCGGCTCGCGCTCGCCAGATCCGCGTCCGCAACGTGACGAGAGGCGCGGAGGCGGCTTGCTCTCGCCAGATCCGCGGCAGCATCATGACGGGGGGCGCGGTGGCGGCGCGCGCTCGCCAGATCCGCGTCTGCAACGTGAGGAGAGGCGCGGAGGCGGCTTGTGCTCGCCGGATCCGCGGCAGCATCATGACGGGTGGCGCGGCGGCGGCGCGCGCTCGCCAGATCCACGTCAGCAACGTGACAAGAGGCACCGAGGCGGCTTGCGCTCGCCAGATCCACGGCATCATCGTGACGGAAGGCGCGGAGGCGGCGCGCGCTCGCCAGATCCGCGGCGGTACCACGAGGGAAGGAGCGGAGGTGACTCGCGCTCACCAGATCCGCGTCAGTATCATGACGAGAGACACGGAGGCGGCGATCGCTCGCCTGACCCGCGACGGTATCGTGAAGAGAGGTGGGAAAGCGGGGCGCGCTCGCCTGATTGGCGGCAACAACGTGAGGGAAGGCGAGGAAGCGGGTACTGCTCGCCTGAGCTGCGTCCGCAGCAAGATGGGAGCCGGGGAAGCAGATACCGCTCGCCGCATCGGCGACAACGCAATGATGAAAGGCGCGGCGGTGGGTCTCGCTCGCCTGGTTGGTATGGGCAGCACAGCGGAAGACGTGCCAGTGAGGCAGGCTCGCCAGCGAAGGGGCAGCATGAAAGGAGGCCAAGGGGCGAGGCACGGTCACCTGATCTGCCGCGTGGAAGGCAGGATGAAGGATGGGCACGGAAACGTTATTCACCAGAGAGACATAGGGGACGAGGAGGAGCAAGGATGGGTGAAGAGGAGCCGCGAAGGGAGGCGGGACAGGATCACCATAGCGGCAGAGTGGGAGGCAGTGGTCTAATGCACAGCTTGGAGCGCGCCAGAGAGGCGAGAGAAGGAATAGAGCGTGTGAGAGAGAGAGGAGCATCAGGGAGATTGGCAAGAGGGACAAGCGAGTCATGGGTGGAAGGTCGGGAGAACACAGCCATGTTCACGCGGGTGGAAGTGCCAGCGCGCTTCTCGGGAGATCAGCGCATGGGGCCCACGCTTAAGAACTACCTTATGCAAGTGGGGAATGTGCGGTACAGGTGTGAGAGGAGCGGTATGGACTCGGTGGACTTCTTCCTGAGCCTGCCGAATACATTGGAAGGGGAGGCGGAGACACTGTACAGAATGAAGATGGATGAGCTGCTGGAGAGGGCAGGAAGGTACGGGGAAGACCCCACGGAAGCATTCCTGAAGCGACTGCAGCGGCAGTTCCCAGGACACACTGCGGAGAAGATAAGGGAATTCCAGGATTTTAGGAAGGGGCGAAGTGAGTCGTTGCTCACCTATTATAACCGGCTGATCAACCTGGCGGAGGATGTAACATGTGCGGACATGGGCCTTCTTGTGAGTAAGTTCCTGGATCGGCTGGAGAGCACTATGGGGAGCGGCCTGCGGATGAAGGTATATGAAATGGGGGCAGACACGACGCTGGATGCAGTGTTCAAGTTGGCAGAGAAGATGGAGCTGGCACAGAGGAAATATGAAGCGTACCGGCCCCGACCAGCAGAGCGAGGCCGTGGACCGACATGGCCAGCGGCTATGATACCGGAAGAGAAGGACAGGGCGGCAGGGAGAGGAGAGAACAGGCCGAACACGCGGATGTGCCACAGGTGCGGGCAGCCGGGACACCTTCGTAGAGACTGCAAGAACTGTGACTCTTGCGGTAAGCCAGGGCACCGGCGGCGGGAATGCCCTACAGCGCCAAAGTGTGAGATCTGCGGGAAGGGAGGGCACGTGGCAAAAGATTGCTATCAGCGAGAGGGAGTGGCGAAGAAGAAGCCAGAAGAACTGGAGAGGCAGATCAGCAGGATGCAAGCCTAGCTGCAGGCACTGGGACCGCGACGCGAAGCAGAAACGGGGATGTATGCCAGGGATGAGGAAGAGGAAGATGTGGAGCAAGAAGAGCAAGCTGCGCTCATGGCTTGGGGAGGAGGGGAGGATGACGAGGTAGAACATGAGGAGCAACCAGCTTATATGGCATGGAGAGGAAGGGAAGAGATGGGGCTGCGTAGCGGAGGAAAGGATGCACGCAGAGAACAGGTGAGGAAGGAACGAGAGAGTGGACAGAAACCGGAAGAAAAGGAAGAGAGATGCACAGCTGCACGTCACCCGCAGGAGAGGTTGGCGTGCCAGACCTCCGTGCCGATCCAAAGTGGTGCGCTGACAGTGGAGGGGGAGAAGGCGAAGACAGCGGTCATAGACACCGGAGCGCAGAGCGTTATACTAGGGAAGGGGATGGCCGAGAAGCTAGGACTGTGGGCACCGGAGAGACACGTGGTAAAGGGGATGCTAGTGATGACGGTAGAAGGAGGAGAATCAAAGTGGATGCCGTGCACGAGGACTCCGATCGAGCTAACGGTACTACAGGGGGAGAAACATGAAACGCAAGTCAGAATCAGGTGCGGGATTTCAGAGCCTGAGGATTTTGATGTGCTGGTGGGCACAGAGACGATCTTCGCATTGGGCATGACCATCTGCTTTTGAAAGAAACTGTGGAGTTCCGAACCAGGTGGTGGAGGAAGGGCGAACCGCTAGGGCAGCTGCCGGTGCAGTTTGTGAAAACAGAGCCGAAGAGGGCATACCGGGCGGATCAGAAGGAGGTGAAAGCGAAGCAGGGGGCACAAGAGAGCGCGGCCAGCAAAGGAGAGGGCGGGGAACCAAGGATGCGCCTCATGGATGAGCCAAGCCAACAGACGGATTGGCAGCAACCCATCCGGCTGGTGGAGCTGTTCGGGGGAATAGGGGCGGGACTGGCAGCAGTGGTGCGGAACGGAATAGCAGTGAAACAGTGGATTTACG